AGGGGTTTGGGAATGTAGTGAAAAGTTTAGGGTTTACGGGGGATTATATTTTGAGGTTTTGTGAAGACTTATAAAACTGAAATTTAGCAAAATCCTTGAAACATTTTATTAGAGTTATTTTAAAAAATTTTCTGAATAATTAAATAAGATTTTATTAAGGCTAAACTTTTAAAACATTTTTTTGTAATGAAAATAAATACCCAAAAATAAATAAAATGGAAAAATAATATTCAAATATTTTAATTTATAAATGACTACATCCATAATTTTTTTTATTAATTTTATGTTTTTCTTTTTTACAAATAAAACACCACAATAACTTTTCCCATAATGAAAATGTTGTTATGTAAATGCAAAAAATGCATCCAACCCACAAGGATAACAGCAGCAAACTCCAAGTGAAGATGCAACTGCAGAAGAGCCCAGAACATAGCCGTGCCCAAAACAGAGAGAAAACCGAGGGGTTGCTGCCATAAGACTCAAATGTTGGTCCAAACGAGCGCCACAAATTGCGGCAGAATGCATTTTTCCAAAGACAAAACCAGCGAGAAAGAGAGATAGAGATAAAGGGAGAGGGAAAGCGTGTGAGTTGGAGCTCCCTCCAAGCAGAAGCTGGAGGAGGATGCAATGCAATCTCAAGTGGTTATCTGCGAGGCCCTCTGGACCTGTGGGACATGGGGACCAAAGTCAACATCAAAGTTCACGCCGACAAAGCGTCGAGAGTAAATGTTTAATGAGCGAGGCGAGCGGGGAATGTAGTTTGCTAAAAAGGAGTAGAGGATCACGACGACTCCTTCAAGCCCTGGCGCAAGCCAATTAAAACAAAAGCCAAAAAACAAATGCACTTCAAGCGGGGCGGGTTGAACGAGGGGGAAAGCGCGTTTGACAGTGTCAAAGGACCAAGGCAGCGAGAGCCTACCACGTGAAGTGTTTGGCAACATTGTTGGACCTTCCAGGACTCTCTCACTCCCCCCAGCGCGCACTCCAAGCAACAGTTCTTCTTTGAAGTCAAAAGGACTTTTTCCAGGCTGCAGCGAAAATCGGAGGCACACAGTAAATTAGCTACACTTCACTCGGCCGTGGAGCCCAAGGGAATGGGGACAAAGGATTTCCAGCACGGACGAGTTATATAAAATTTCACGTGACAGCTGCTGGATGATAGCAGGTTAATCAAGGTGGAAAATTAATGGGGATGAGAGGTGCCATATTCCTGGGAGTTGTCAATAGACTTGGTAGATTTTGTAGAATAATATAACAAATCTTGATATAATTCTCAACTGGTTTTAACAACCCTGAAATGAAGTGACGGAATATTTCGTTATTTTAGAATTCAAAAACATCATTCAAACCTTATTTGAGTTACTTATTAATTTTACAAAGTCTTAAGATTGCAATTCTTGTTCCAAATAAAAAAGTATATTAAATGTCAATCAATCCTTAACGTTCTTTAGCTTAACGTTCTCTAGAAAAAGCATTCTAACAACCCAACACCCAAGACCAATCCCAAAGCCCTTATTTTTCTCACAATTTTCCCCGCTTTTAATTATGCTTAGCTGACAGCGCCAACTACAATAGCGACCCAATGGCAGAAAAGGGGAATAATACGGGGATAGGGATAGGACCCGGCGTGGGACAAGGAGCAGGAGCACAGGACAATGGGGAGGATTAGGTTGAGGATGGGGCTTTAGGCCCACTGGCGCCCGGCGATATGTGACAGCCATTTAATTTGATTTATGGCAAGTGAATAGCCTTGATTAGGACGCGTTCGCTACAATGAGAACCGACAACCGACACAGAAGCCTGCGGGCCAGGATGTGAGTGGTGTATGGAGAGTGTGTGTATGAATTTAACTCAATTTCACATAAATCAAAAATGTAGCCAACCCAAACCTGCTCCCGGTACCTCATCCTCTACTCTGCGATCATTTATTCGTTTCCCCGTGTGTGCACCTTGGTGCTAATCGCATTTCAATTGTTGAAACGAATTGCGAATTGAATGAAGTGTTGAAATTTCAGCAGCCATGCCAGAAGATACACGGACACACACAAACGTACACTTGGAGAAATGTATTAAGTGAATAATAAATTTATAATTAAAATTTGTTCATGTAGAATTCTGTTATCTACTACAAATAGGAAACCTTTTGAAGACATAAACAACATAAATGAATACAGGAGGTTTTAAGTATTCGAAAAACTTTAAAAATATGCATGATAGAATTTTTCAAACCTTATTTTGGTCAACATTTCGCAGTGAGATAAAGGATATATCTATAAGAAAGTTCAAGTCTATTCTGTAAACTGTAACATTCACCCAAAGTGCCTGTTAAATTTATCTGATTTCCAATAAAAAAAAAGTAAAGAAAAGATACTTTCAAGTGTTTTGAGTGGTATCAATGGTCGATTTTTTTTTTAGTGCAACCTACATGTAGATATAGATTTCCCCTATGAGCGAACAAGTTCATAAAAGTAAATCCAAAGCAGGCAACAATAAGCGAATTTAGGTGTCAAACAGCAGGTGGCAGTGGCAGCCAACGGAAGTGCCTGACGTCCTTCGATTGCGGACTGGGGTTCGGGTTTGGCAACGGATTTGGGTTTGGAGTTTGCTTTCTGGGGGTCCCCAGGGTCTGTGGGGACTGCTTGGGTATCGTCAGAGACAGATGATATCTTAAACACACACACACACACTCAGACAATCACACATGACTACCCGGCCAAATGTTATCAGAAAACCAGCAACACGCAAAAAAAAATACAAAACTGTTGTACAATTTTTGACATGGGTTACCCCCAAACAAAGGGGCCACCAACCTGGGGAGGGTCGACTCGAATCCGGATACGGATACGTATGTGTGGGACCTTCTTTCGATATCAGTTGGACAGTGCCTGTGTATTGGCAAACCGCAAGAACATCAACTGATGGCAGATAAATTAAATTTTGCGGTTCTAAATGGGCAATCAATGAGGCGTTCCACCGGAGGTTTCCTACGGAAAACTGACTGGAAATAAAATTTAAAAATTGAACAAACACGAGTCAATAACTTGACCTCCGACCAAAGGAGACATACATGCCAAAATTAGGAAAAAAAATAAAAAGAAGAAAAGTTGTTAGTCAAACTTTCAGCTACGACATCAAATATTGACTCGTGTCGGGAAGGCTACGTCTCGACCGACTCAAGTGGGTGTTGTTGTGTACAGTTGACACCTGGAATCCCCTTCTACGACTCTGTTTATTGGTATTTATTCGACAGCCGGAATGCCTAATCAAACAGTCGGCGGAGGCGGAGGGTACTTGAAGGGCTGCTTAAGCAAACAACATACAACTAATGTTGAGCTCGGTGTTTGGAGTTTCCAAGGGGAAATCCTTAAAGCCAGAAGGTGTGTGTGTGTGTGTGTGTGTCTGAGTAAAGATGGCAAAGGAATAAAAAGGGAATGCATCCCAGTTTCTCGATTGGCGAGGATTGGTTTCGCGAAAGGCAATAAGGCCTCAAGGGTTGTATTTATCATATATGTATGTACATATACATATGTACTTTTATTTAAATTGCTTTTACGATTGATCAGAAAGGACTTGAAAGGTTGGATTAAGTCTATCAAGACTTATATCAAGACTTATACCAAACTAAACAAAATAATAGAAGGATAAATTCAAGGGCAAAAAAAGTTGTATGTCGTTATGCATCTTATTTATTATAGTATCTTTCATACTAAACTATTTTCTGTATTTTTTCAGTTACTCCTTATGATATTGAAACTTCTTAAGGCCTTAGCTTAAATTTAAAGAAATTTAAAGATTTAAAAGAATTTGTATAAATTCTATCCTAAAGAAAATAGTCCCTCTCTTAAATAAATATCTAATTAACAGTTGACCAGTCAAGGCGAGTGGGTCAATGGCTTAACAGTTGAACACCAAATAACTCTACACTCGTCCCAGGACCCTAGGAGAAACTTCAATAACAGAGGCCATACAATTCCATACAATTTCTATATCAAAGGCAACCCTTTTTTTTATAGTTCAATGGGACCACCCTGTAGGGAAATATTTATTAATTAACCATTATCGTTGACTGGACCCTGGCTGACTGCTGATTCTGGCGCCTGGCTCCTGGCTCCTGGCTCTGATGCATCGATGATAAATGGATGTCTGAAGAGCAATTTGCATGCGAGCTGAACAAAAAAAGGGAGTGACGCGGCGCCAGAAAGAGGGTGAGTGGGGTATTCAGGCAGAGGAAATCAGCGGCGGCCATTGATGCCATTGAGATGTGGACACAAAACAGCCGGACAGAGGGACTTCCGGACGTGATGGCAACCTGTCCGTTGATGAGCATCATTATGCCAAAGAACATGCTGCTTGTCCGGCAGAGATCGGGCTCCCAGGAGTTGACAATTATGACAGTGGCAGGCACACACATTCGACATTCGTTCGCCGATGCTGGAGAGCTACTGCTGGAATTAACGCCATTTTAATTGAATTTTAATATTTCACACACGACTCAACAACAGCCGGAAGTGGAAGTTGGCAGCAGGGCGCAGAGTAGGGCTTTGAAATCCACCCGAAACCGCAAGTAAAATGCGAAGAGTAGGCGGAATGGTTTATGGCCAGTGGCCATAAAGGATGGGCCTTGTGTCTGGCACTGACTGACCAATGAAATAGCCATTATGGAAATCTGTTGCCAAGTTTGGTCACATAATGGATAATGATGCATTAAATTCGGGATAACTTAAATTTAACCCTTGGGAAGAGCATAGTAATGTGTTTGCTACAGAGAGTTAAGTATCTTATAATAATAATAAAAACATTTAAGTATTTAAGTAAATCTAAGCTCATCTTATTCTGGAATCTGTGAATTTCTCAAGCTAACTACAACGCATTAATAATAGTATAACAATTGATATTCGACTTAATACCTAAAAAGAATACCCTTGCTTAAATCACAACTTCATCAGAAGCATGCACTATCGATAGCAAGAAATGCAACTCTGATTTTAGTGTTGGATAATCTTTTCAAGTATTGTACAGAAATTACTCATTGCTCTTCATTTATTCATTTCTGTAAACTTATTTCGCAAAATTGATTGTTGCCTAGTGCCTAAGATCAAACAAAGATGGTAAGCAAACTTTAGTTAATATAATTCATCTAACTAACTAACCATTTTTAGGTTGCAGACGACAGAAAGCCAATGGATCCGCATGGACCGGGTCCTAAGCCAGAATGTTTGTTCCTTCAGCGTCTTCTAGCGTTGGAGCGGGAAATTGATAAGCTTGCCGAGTTGGTTAGAGTCTACAAAAAGGAATTCAATAAGCTGAAGCCAAGGATGTACCGTAAAACAAAGTAAAAATACACAAATCAACGCGTCAAGAGTTCTAAATCAACATGCATAAATAAGGAAAAGCTACAGATAATCGTACATATTGAAGTGGAAATGGACAAGTACATACTTATGAACATATGTATGTATGTACATATATCCAATATGGCAGCTAATAAACCAAGTTAAAAATAAAGTAAAATGTGAAAATAAACCAATCTGATGAATATACAATCTTAAATAGACATCTTGAACCTTCCAATATTAAAATTTCTTATAAATTTGTTACAGTTTTGTATCAGCTTATGAAGCTAACACGACTATCCAAAAACAATATATAAAAAAGAAAATGTTTGTCATATTAAAAGAATACAAAATAAAAATAGAAATGCATACCACATTGTATTCCATGCTTAAAAACTATAAAACATTGTACACCATAGTTAAGAAATAAGTAAAACACTGTTTTCAATGCACAATACTCACATAAATATAGCCACGATGATAAATGTATGTACAAGAACCTGATCAAATATTTTCCATTGACCAACGATTTCCTGACGACGGCCATCGGGGTTTGCCAGTGTCCAAATATTAAATGCCATTGTGACAAACGCCGCCAACTGGCTATGAAACTGTCAACTATCGATGCCGTTGATGACGCGCTGCAGCAGGAGGCCACCAGGGGACCAAAGGACCTCCAGTCATCGGAATCGAATAGACCCCTGCTTGCAATCAGTGAGCGGCAATGGTGGCAAAGAGGGCGTGACAAACGCAGTTGGCAATTTCTTCGTGTAACATGCAAATTTCAACGATTTTCAATCACAACTTCACACTCACTACAGTTCTCTCTGGGTGACATTTTGTGAGTGCTGAGCATTCAGGTGTATTTAAACATGAAACAAGGAGTATTTTAAGTTTTTTATTATTTTTTATTAGTTGTTTTATTTATTTATTTTCTGATGTTAAATAAAATAATCCTCATTTACGATAAAATTAAATATTTTCAAGCTTAAAGCGAAGAGTACGTCATTGTAACTTTTTTTAGATGAGAATAAAAATAAACATTTTACTTTTTTTTCAGTCTAAACTCTCCGTAAGCAATGACAATATAAAGAATAAGAAGTGTAACGCTGTTAATTTTTTTTAATGAGATAAAAAGGATTGGGGTTACTTATTTATGATTGTAAAGTCTCCTTAAGCAAAGACCATATAAAAACTAAGATGTGTAACGCTGACTACAAGCGTATCTTGAAATATTATTCAAACAAATTCATATAGTTATTTTAACAAAAACCAAAGCTTCCCTTAAAATAATTGATTATAAAGTTTACCCAGCACTTCATCTAAAACAATAATATTTAGTTCATTGTTAGCTACCCGCCTATTTTTATTCTGCCATCACTGTTCTCCGCTTTGCATGGACTCACAGTGCGTATGAGCAATGGAAAAGTAATTAAATTTACCAGGCACTGTGCAATGGGTACTCTATGGTGTCCTGTGTCCTTCCTGTTCTCCGCTCTCTGTCGATTTCCCGGCTAGTTAGACTAACAAAATAAGAGAAAAAAAATATTGGGGGAAAACTGTCATTATTAACGCATTGAACGCGGCGCTGACAGCTGTTGCACCCCCTCGAAAACGAGGAAATAGGGGCGGGTGTAGGTGCCATGTTGACACTTTGCCGAGTCCAAATGACATTTATTGAAATTTCATCATTAAGAGCCGAAAGGGGAGGCCCCAAACTGCTGCTTGTCAACTTTCCTGCTCGTCGAACTTATTTAAATTCGAATTCAGACACGTGGCAGGCAAGAGAGAGCAGATTGTCATATCACCATCAGGTTATCAAAAACAGCCGCCCCGCCCAAAAGAAAAAAACAAGAAAAGACAACCCTTGCTGCTGGAAATCACTTTTTTTTTTGGCATCGCAAACAACAATTCAGTGAACTGAAAAATATCCCCAAGGAGAGGAACCAACATTTTTCAGACATTTTTGCATAATTTTCAAGAAAAACTTTTCAAGTAATGCGTAAGGTGACAGGAATCATCATCATCCCCTTATCGAAGAATGATATGTGGTCTTATAATTCGTATGTAATATGCTTAAGGCAAGTGATGATGACGAGGGTATTTTGGCAAGGAATCGATATAATGCGAGAACAATTTGTCTAAGTTTGAACTTGGAGTTGAAAAAAACGATTTTGATGGGTTGTAAAAAACAGAAAACTTATTTTAAGACAAATATTTATCTATTGAAAGGCAACTTTGTTATGAGTATAAGTTCTATCTTATGTTATTCCTACATTCTTAAGAGAACAAAAAGAAAAAAGGACAGAGAAGTGTCCCCTCACAGTACCCCTGAGAGTCCTGCCTCGCTGACCATACTTAAAATCTTAATAAAATATATACAAAAATATAAAAATTATCTTTTATACCCAACGATTCTCATTTAAGGATTTACAGAAAAGAAAAATATCTACGCAAAACGGCAATAAAACTGGAATTACAATCAATTGCCCGCCAAGTCCAACCCCCCATTTTGACCAAAACGAGCCCCGAGTCACATCAAAAAGCCACCCTTGCAAACATTCCCTTGGAAGGCTTGGCTATATCCTCGTTCTTGGGATTTGACCAGCCTGGGGGCTCGACAGGCCCGGTGTCTAATCAAAAATGCAATGTTTGGCTTGGTTAAGCGGAAATCGGTAGATTGCGTTCGCACAGTTTTCGCTTGTTGATATTAACACATTTCACCTCCTCCTCCTCCCCCCTAAACCAAACTCCACCCATCAACACCCTCAGATTGATGGGCGTGGCAAAGGATGAGGGGGAGTTGGGTTAATGAAACGTCACAGATGATGACGACGTTGGCATAAGATTTCAATGATATGTCAAAACTGAGTGATGCTGATGATGGATGGCTGATCATAATACAGTAACCATTGTCCTTGCATGTAAAAAGAAAATACCTTATACAAATTTTGAATTAATTTTAAGATTTATAGGAAATTTTTTTAATTTTTTACAAATATTCAACTATTTACTTATTTTATATTTACTTTTCTTTTGATATAAAATACATATACAATATTTATAAAAGTTTTTAATTATATTCTTATTATTTATACTTTTATTAATTACTCTTAATTTAATAAAATGTATATAAAATATTCCTAAAAGTTATGATTTATTTTCTAAGCCTTCTAATCCTGAATTTTGTATGCTTCAATCAAACCCCTAATTTTTCTTAGTGCCTGTGTCCACATTTCCCCCTCTTTCCACAGCTTTCTCCCTTTTTCGCCTCATACATCACACGCCTCTACGCATAAATTTACGAAATTTGGCCCAACTTGAGCCGCATTTACATGGGATTTCCACGGCAAGAAGAAAAGCGGCGAGGGCGGGCGACAGAAAGTGGTGGCTTAGATGGACGCTTGATGATGGGTGGGTGTTTGGCCTCTGCTTTGGAGAGTAGGAAGGAGAAGTGCCCTAGGAAGACAAACAAACCCAGCATCCGCTTGGTGGCAATTTCCGTTTTGTCACTTAACGCACATCAAATGCAATTTTCCTAGGCAAATAACATAATCAACCGAAAAAGTAGTGAGGGAAATCTGACGAAAGTACTGCCTAGTACTGCCAGGTGAAAATTTTATCACACACCATCATGCTTTCAATTTGTGTTTCTATTTTTCGTTTACTCTTTTTTTTCCTCTATTTTTCATTTTGCGCTACCCATATTGAAATTTGATTTGTCGCCGGCAAAGTGCACCAGGAATATACATTTTGTGATGGATATTTGAGCAAAACTTGCCCGAAGTGTCGACACAATTGAATTTGTGCTGCTTGTGCAATTTGCGAAATTTGATGTGGCACCATTAGACTCATCGCGTGCCGGCTCCTATTTGCCGAGGACGAGGGCAAGTGATGTGAAACCATAATTTTTAATGACATTTTTATATGGAGCAAAAGTGATTTTATTTAGGAGGTGCCTAGCTAGAGGCTATGAGGCGAAGACTTTACTTTTTAGTTATGGAAAGAAGCTGGGTTAAAGGAGAAGGCATTAAAATAATAAGATGCATAACGGCCATAGTCTTTTACTAGTAAAAACTTGATCTTGAATGCTTTAGAATAAATAAATAAATAACTAAACAAAACTTTAATTTAAAAAACTCAGCTGGGTAAAAGATAATGGGAAAATTATTTAATTTATTAATTAATTGTGTGTCAGAAGGTTATTGATTTAGGTTTGAGGCTCATTTTATCCTTTATCCGAGTTTATATACTTTTTCTAGACTCTTGAAATATTTAAAAATTATAATAAAAATAATTTAAAATGTATTTCGGTTATATTTCTTATTTAAAAACAAATAATTCCTAGTTTTTATAAGCAACTTAACTCCAGGTCTTCCTTTGACTTCAGCTGCTGTTTTCAATTTGAGTTTTTCCCCCAAAGCGAAACTGAAACCGGAAAGGCCAAACTTGAAATTGGGGCCAGGGAAAAGCAAAAGCTAAATCAAGGGACAAAGGATGGGCTTAAAAGTAAACGCCTTTGGTTAGTGAAAAGTGAAAGAGCAGCGTAAACAAATACGACAGCCGCCGCCGACTCGAGAGCACCTTACATCTGCTGATAAAGAAAGCACCACGCATCCTTTACAGCCACATGCACATATACATATATCCTGCAGTTTTTCAACCGCTGAGAGGTTGGTCAAAGGGCGGCAGTTTTGGTGTAGCAGCTGGAGGGGGTACAACGACGACGTCTTTTAATGAAAGATGGCAACAACAACATAGGCGATAAAAGGCTGTCATTAATATTGCAGCGGCTGCCGCTGGTTGCTTCATTAGAGACGACGCCTCTTCTTTGCTGGGTTACCGGAGATGGGCGCCAGGTAGTTCATAGTCCAAACTAGGTTGCCGTTTTGAGTAAATACCACTCATGCAGCATGGTGTGCGGACAAACGTCATTGAATCAAGATGAAAGTGGAATTTCCAATGAAAACAAAACGTGAGAAGGGCAATTCCCTCAAAACAGACTTTTTGGTCAAAGGACTATAAAAAAAGTACTGCTATTCATAGAAGGTTAACATATAAATGAAATAGGATATGCCGAAAAAATAGTTTAACGACACCAATAAAAGCAAAAATAAAACTTAAATAAATTAAATTAAATAATAGGGGTTTCCAGAAATTATAAAATTTGTTTTTGATTTAGATAGAAAGAAAAGTTATTACCCAATAATGTTCTTCTATCTGAGAAGATAATTGAGATCATTGAGATAATAATATTATATTTAAATCGAACGACTATTTTATATATGGAAATATATAGAAAAATATAAAAATGTATAATAAAATTTAAAAATGTTTAGAAAAATATAAAAATAAATAGGAATATGTTAAAATTTAAATGTTAAGTGTAGAATGTAAGTGTATGATGTAAAATATATAGGTAAATGTAATGAAAATGTTAATTTCTTCGTTAATTTTCAAAAAGTACCCATAAAACCTGGGATATAGTTATAGTTAAAGGCAGATTTCTATATCTTATAGCTGCCATAAAAGTGATCAACTCATTTATATGACAACAGTGGAAATTATTCTTATCAAAAACCTTGACAGATGGTTCCCAGGTAAGATATAAATCGGATAAAAGCGGATTCAACGAAGTTTTGGGAAATTCAATGACGTTTAAATAAAACCATAAGATCGCAGAAGGACAGATGAAATTATTTAAATCTATTATCTTGATTATTCAGAAGAGAAGATCGCTGAAATCGATTACAATTTTCAAAGAATATTCCCAAGAAATTCATTAACTACATATTCATAGGTAGTTTCAAAATTACTTCGTAAATACCTTTTAACGACTTGATTTATTTTTTCTTGATAAACAGCTTTTTTTGAACTAAAACAAACGCTTCGAGGGCTCCACCTCCGCCTCGCTATTCCCATCCACGGGACGCGCCAACTCAATGGAATTAATCCTGATCATGGTGTTGGGAGAACGCTGGAAGTTGATACGCATATACTGCTTCCTGCGCTTCTTCCGGAAGTGTGTTTTCGTGTGGGTCAGTGTCTTCTCCACCACGGTGGCTTTCACGGAAACCAAGCCTGGCTCCAGAATCGGACGTCCCACGAGGGTAAAGTCTCTGGCGCCCGCCAGAAGTACCTTGTCCAGACTAATCTCATCGCCGATCGTTGGTGGCCAATAGCCTTCCACTAATATAATGTCCCCGGGAGTTATTTTGAATTGTTTTCCGCAAAGATGCACCACCGCAAAGAGACGTCCCTGCTCGGATTTGGCCACCTGCTGGTTGATGCGCTCACATATATTCGAGCATTCCTTCTGCTGATCCTTGCTTATAGCAGATATATCCACCGATTCGGTTGCCGGTTTGTTTTGTTGAAGAAAGGCCGGGGAAATGCTCAGCGAACGCATGCCTCCTAAAAGAGACCCACAGTGTTATGTCACATTGTTTACATGGTTTTAATTGATTTATCACTTACCTGCAAGTGCCGCAGTGCGGCTGGGCACTTGGCGTAGCACCTGGCGCATAGTTTGCGCTAGAAACGACATTGTTTTGTGCAATTTTTAACTCAAAAATAACATAAATAAATTGCACAAAATCCAAGAACTTCAAGGTAGTGTTGGCAAACGACGAAATGTGAAAGGCACTAACGCGTCAAACAGCTGAGCTAGCAGCCAGTAGATTAACATTAGCTACTTAATTGTTTTGGCTAGTTTATGTTAAAATCAACCTTAAATTAATTCCCTATATGGGAATTATTATAAATTAAATTATTGCATTTTATAAAATATCAAAATTTCTTAGTCGTATTTGTAAACAATTCTTTTTTGTTGCTACTATTATTTTAGTCTGTGCCAAATACCAACCAAATAGATATTTTATTTGATTTTGCTAAAGTTTATTTATAATAATTAAGTTTGTTTTGTTATTTTTTAAGAAAGATTTGAATTTCAGCTATTTTATAGCTATTTCCATCCCATTTTCCATCTCTAACAGCATGCTGTCTTTTCAGTCGTTTTCCAACACTCCAATTAAAAAGCAGGCCCGGCGTTTTGCTTCCTTTTATTTGCTTAGCAACTTATTTAAGCCCCATAAACAAAGTCGTGAGTCGTCGAAAAGGTCGGAATCGAGCTAAACGTATAATTTATAATATTTTTTAGAACCACAAATATGGCCGAAACCGAGAAAATCGAAGTTCGCGACATAACGCGCATCGAACGCATTGGCGCCCATTCTCACATTCGCGGTCTGGGATTGGACGATGTTCTGGAGGCACGTTTGGTTTCCCAGGGCATGGTGGGCCAGAAGGATGCTCGCCGTGCCGCCGGTGTTGTGGTCCAAATGGTGCGCGAGGGCAAAATCGCCGGAAGATGCATCCTGCTGGCTGGAGAACCCAGCACCGGAAAAACAGCAATCGCCGTGGGAATGGCTCAAGCCTTGGGCACTGAGACCCCATTTACCAGTATGTCCGGTTCGGAGATATATTCACTGGAGATGAGCAAAACGGAGGCCTTGTCACAGGCCCTGCGCAAGAGTATTGGCGTTCGCATCAAGGAGGAAACTGAGATTATCGAGGGCGAGGTGGTGGAAATACAAATCGAGCGCCCAGCCACAGGAACTGGCCAAAAAGTGGGTAAGGTTACCCTGAAGACCACCGAGATGGAGACCAACTATGACTTGGGCAACAAGATTATCGAGTGCTTCATGAAGGAAAAGATCCAGGCGGGTGATGTCATCACCATAGACAAGGCATCCGGGAAAGTTAATAAGCTGGGCAGAAGCTTCACCCGAGCCAGGGACTACGATGCCACTGGCGCTCAAACTAGATTCGTTCAATGCCCGGAGGGTGAGCTCCAGAAACGCAAGGAGGTGGTGCACACCGTCACCCTTCACGAGATCGATGTGATCAATAGTCGCACCCACGGATTCCTGGCTCTGTTCTCCGGCGACACTGGTGAAATCAAGCAAGAGGTACGCGACCAAATCAACAACAAAGTTCTCGAGTGGCGTGAAGAGGGAAAAGCTGAAATAAATCCGGGAGTTCTATTTATCGATGAAGTTCACATGCTGGACATCGAGTGCTTCTCCTTCCTGAATCGTGCCCTGGAGTCGGACATGGCACCCGTGGTTGTGATGGCCACCAACAGAGGAATCACTCGCATCAGGGGCACCAACTACCGCAGTCCCCACGGAATTCCAATCGATTTGCTGGATCGCATGATCATCATACGCACGGTTTCCTATTTGGAGAAGGAAGTCAAGGAGATTTTGAAGATTCGTTGCGAGGAAGAGGACTGCATCATGCACCCAGATGCTTTGACCATTCTCACGCGCATTGCCACTGATACGAGTCTGCGCTACGCCATCCAGTTGATCACCACCGCCAACTTGGTGTGTCGTCGTCGCAAGGCCACAGAAGTGAACACGGAGGATGTGAAGAAGGTGTACTCGCTGTTCCTAGACGAGAATCGCTCGAGCAAGATCCTGAAGGAGTACCAAGACGACTACATGTTTAGCGAGATCAACGAGCAGGAAGAGCAGGATCCAGCTGCTGGCGGAGGTGCCAAGCGCCGTGTTGACGTCGGCAGCGGCGATGCCCAGCCCATGGAGCACTAAAGAGAACATTATTAGCATCTCCTCCGTATACATTCTCATGACCATTTTTATTGATCATAAAAATAAATAAGTTTTCTTAGAACTTACAAAATGTGTTTAGTTTTTAATGAGCTGTTAGTGGGGGTGGCGGAAAAGATTGAAATTTACTTAAAAAATCGATAAATCGATTACAGAATCGATTTTATCTATTATTTTACAAAACAATTATAGAAAGCCTATCAAAAATATGTTTTAAAGATTTAATTTTTATAATTTAATATAATTTTAAAAAGGGACTTCATTGATAGAAAATATTTGTTTTAAAGTTATAAACGATTTTTTTCGATATTTCCAATTTCGATATGATATTGAAAACGATCATTTTGTCGGTATATTACAGAGAACATTCGAAAGATTCTTAAGTCTTAATGGTTTAAAAAAAATCTACAAAAATTATAGAATTGAATTTGATTCGATTTAAAAAGAGTTTAATTTTTTTCTTATTTACCTATTTATCGATTAATAACATTTAATAAATCACGATCCCCATCTTTTCCTTACCCAAATAATAAAGCAAATGTAAGAATTACCTAAAAATAACTTCATTGCATTTATTTCGCGTTTCCATTAATTAAATTTGCACTTAATGTGAGCATATCAAAATATATGTATCTTTGCATCCCTTTATCCTTTGCATTGGTATAAAATTGTCTTTATGGCTTAGTTATGATGCTCCCTTCTTTCGATACAAGAAATCTGTAACAGAAATTATTTGATTTTCATAGACCCGGGCCTCTTATAAGTCTTGTAGGTGATCTGTCGTAGTTACTAGTTGATCTAACATGATTTTAACACTTATACAATTTACAATTCCATAACATACATATATACGACTGACAATGTGCTGTTTTTGGGCCCAGATAAGCCAGTATCTTATCGCCATAAAACACACTGCATACTTGGGGATGACTCCTCCTTGACTAGGCAGACGAATTATATGTATAAAATTGTTTTTTCAGTTAACAAATCTCTAGTTACAGTGGCAATATTATTTGGTAAAACTTATTATTTGGTTAGTAAGATTCTGATAAATACCAATTCCAAACAATTGTCAAGGAGTAACTACAATTTTGAGAACTTTCAAGCTACTTTCTGTTGGTAAACTCTCCTTGCTACTCAGACTTCTTGTCATCTGCGTCCTTTTCTCCACTGATTTGTTCCTGCGACTTTTTCTCTTCCGTCTTACTTTCCACTGGCCTTTCATCCTCGCCACCTGGCTTTCGCGAACTAACCCGGAAAAGGGTTCGGTAGGTGTGATAGAAGACGGCCCAGAGGAACAGGAAAGTGAAGCCATAGTAATTTACTGCCCCATAAACCACGATCCATCGCTCGTATTTCAAGAAAACAAATGCCGTGAGACACCAGCCCATGAAGCAAATGTTGTACGATTTAAGAGCAATGAAGTAGAGCAGCTTGTAGATGTCAGAGTTGTTGAGAACCTCACCCCACTTGGGCAAAACTACGCTGGTGTAGAAGCGGGTAATCTATAAAACAAACAAGGAAATGGCGCATTATTTTGTATTACGTAGTAATAAGACTTTAAGTTTGCTCTACTTAATTATAATTCCAGAATTGATACTCACTTGCTTTTCCGTACTCACGACCATGTACTCCATAAGGAAGGTCATATAGTATCCGCAGTGGTATCCATGCCATACAGCCAGAAAACCCAGAGCTGCGCCATAGCTGATCGTGCGATTGTTGAGGAACTTGAGCCGCTTGTAGATGTACTGTCCCACCCACTGATTCGTGTTTACATTGAAGCTCTGCACATAGTGTTCCATGGTGTTGCCGGTTTCCAAGAGCATTAGCTTGACATTACTGCAGCCGGACCAGTCTGGTTCACCATCCTTATTCTTTCCCTTATAGGTCAGACCGATGCCAATGAGGGCTCCCTCGGTGAGCAGCCAGCAAGAGATGTACTTGTACAGACTGAACTTGGCCCAGAAGCCCAAGAAATAAATTCTCTTGATGAAAGACTGCTCCGCAAACTCAGGGGTGAGAAAGTACGAGTCAGGGAAGTAACTCAGACCCACTTGACACACGAGCAGGTAAAAGGCTCCCGCTCCAAACCGACGAACGCCGGCCTCAAAGCTACCCTCGTGCTTACGGAATTGCCCGTTGATAAAAGACTGGTAACGGCGATAGGGAAACTGGGGACCCACCAAAAATCCACTGGGGAAATATGCAAAGGCCAATAGTTCTAGCAGAGATGGTGGCTCCCTCAAGGCCGTTTCTCTCTGGTCCTTGGACAGCTCAGACTCTGCCTTCAGGCCATCGGTTACATCAAATCCAAATCCAATCATTCGCAGGACCAAGATGCACTGGGGCATCGTCCACAGGATATCATAATCATTGCTGGAGGTGAAGAAGTAACCCAACAGCAGATAAGACATATGGAACACAAAGTTCAGGGTCAGAAAGATTTGTGTCTTTTTCCGCAGGAAGAGTACCAGGAAATATGTGGTAACGATCCCCAGCAGAGAGTGATATGTATCAGAGCCATAGTTGAAGTAGCAGAGTCCAGCGCCACTGGCGGCAAAGAACAGGTGGTGCACTTTTTTATCGTTTATGCCGGCAATGAATTTCAGATAAACAAAAGCCACGGGATAACCTGAAAGGGGGAATATATATATATCTAAATAAGTACAATGTTTGCCCGGAACACCTGTACATATAACCGATATGCACACACACATATATTTAGTAGAAGCAGGTGAAAATGCAGGTCTTACCTGCCAAAATGGTGAGCAGCAATCGCAGGGCCTCCACGGGAACGCCCACTAGCGAGGCGATTCCATCCATTAGACCCCTCTGGGGCAAGATTTCCGAGTATTCCTCCGTCATGCTAAATCTGGAAATGAAAGAGTTACAAGGCTTATCAGTCACTTGACTCGCGTGTTTCGATGGTTCAACGTTCTGCAGGGCTTATCACTTGCTAATTGTTGTTATTGTTATTGGCGCATTATTACGCAAACTGATTGTTTTTTGATCAACACAAACGAAACGGAAGGGGAAGGGGAATGGGGTGGGGGATTAATAAAAGAAGAAGCAGCAACAAAAACAACAAACGAGTGCACTTGGTCAGGGTCAATGAGAATGCAAATGACGAGTTAACATCACAAAAACCACTAAAATCAATGACGCACTTGTGGCACACACAGCTTTAAATATTTGATGCTTATTGATTTCAGGGTCGGGCCAGGAAAATTAATGGGAAAAACAAACGACAGCGCCAAGCTAAAATTTTTGGCCAAGATTACCTAAAGTTATTGAACACTAGACGCGACTGGAGCAGTGTGACTGTAGGCGGCAGTAAGGAAAATACCAAAGTATATAAGTAATAAGTTGCAGGATTAACCCTTAAGTGGTCTGTGAGATTAAATTAAATAATATTATTAAATTAAATTTTTTTTTATATATTTTTTTATACATAAATGGAAATTATTCCTTGTACTTATTGTTTATTTAAACATTTTTTTTTATATTTGCTAAAAGCTCTTTATATTTGTCAAGAGCTGCAAATGATAAAAGTATTATAAGGGATATATATTCTTGCCTGAAGTGTTGCAAATGATTATAATGAAATAAATTACCTGATAAAGTAATTAAAGTAGTAAAATCTTGTAAAAAGAAGTATTTACCATAGGGTTAAACAAGCTTTTTTCACCCAATTCCAGTTGCTTTGCTCTGGTCACACTGCTCGACAACCAACAATTGCATGGGTTTTTAAAAAGTTACATTTATTTAATTGAAGCATTACTCAGCCAATTTCCAAGTGCCAAGGTAGGGTCAAGGGTCAATGCAACATCAGCCACAGAGGTTGAGCCCAAAAACAATCATCACAACAGCTGTTCTGCCGCTGGGTGAGATACAATGTTTACGTTTACGTGTCACTTGAATGCTATACTGTGATTTATGTCTATTAACTTTAAATATTTGCACCGATTTACAGCAATCCGAATGCAAAACTGGCACACACTGGGAGCAGCATGCGCCGCAATAACTATCCATATCAGCCCCTGAACCAGCAGCCATCGGGATCGGGCGCTGCTCCGGCGAGTCATGATTCCCTGGAGGCGGAAAATGAGCTGGCCGCCGAGGAGCTTAAACAGAAAATTGGAGCACTGAAATCGCTAACCATCGATATAGGCAATGAGGTGCGCTACCAGGATAAGTTACTGCGCGGAATCGACGATGATATGGATCGGACAAGTGGTTTTCTGGGCAACACCATGACCCGGGTGTTGCGCTTGGCCAAACAAGGCGGTGGTGCTCGCCAGATGTGCTACATGTTCCTCTTTGTCCTTGTCGTATTCTTGATCCTCTGGCTGACCCTTAAGTTTAAGTAGTGGTATATAATTTGTGTAAAATATAATGTGTACCAACAAACTTTTAGTTTGTTTAGTGAAGAAGAATTGTGATTTGTTTGTTATTCCCAGGAAAGATTGTAGAAATCTTTACTATTGTTGGGTTCAGACAGTATTATATAGCTAATTGATCTCAAAACCATTTGCAGTCTCTTTAAAAACAATCGATTGTTTCCTTTTTCTAAATATAAACTTACAAACTTTTATTATTTAGCGTAGAGAGAGTGGTGATTTGTTCTAAGTACAAAAGACACACGCATACGAATTAAGGTATAGAGGGTGGGCTACACTTTGGTCTTAAAACTAATGATGATTATGATTAAACGGGCATGTTGCAGCTTTCATTTCCACAGAGTTCTTTTTACATGAACTGAATTTTGAAACTGATTTCTTCACAACATTAAAGGCTATTGCTTTCGATTAACACAACCCTAGAAAAGTGAATGAAACAAAATGAAATTGACACAGAATCGTTGAAAATGAAAACCGAAACATTCCTGTGCGTTCCATCTAGGCATGGAAGGTCTTCATTTTTTTGTTGCGTCTGCTAAAGTCAGGCTGGTCCAGATCATCGTCCTCAATGTCTTCGCTGCCCACTTCGTCCTCACTGAGGAATTCAGCGTAATGATCGGCATTGGGACTTTCCAGAGCTCGAACTGGGGGTTGGGAAAATGAGGAAGTGTATGAGGAAAATTTGTTAAAATTGGAAAAATATTTAGTATTTACTTTGCTGATCTAATATGCTGTTTTGTTTTTTGATTTCCTCGATGTCCTTTTGGTTTTCACTGATTTTTCGACGCATGGTTTGTATGCACTCGGTGGTCTTCTTTAATATCTGAGCTCGGCTTGCCTAGAAGGATAAAAATATAAGGATTTCTCTCCAGGATCACCTATTTACCCCCCATTACCTTCTCGCCCTTAAGCGTTGGCACCGCCTCCCTGAGATTCGTAAAGCTCTCCTTGATGTGATCCCGCCGCCTTCGCTCCAAGGCGTTGTGATGCGCGCGCTTCTCGGCCTTCAAGTATACAAAAATAAGTATATATGTACTACGTAAATAAGATTTCGTAACAACAACAACACGTGCACCTCTGTGTTTATCAACAACAGGCAACGTGTGCAGCTTTTCCGTGGCATTTCATTATGTAGACACTCACTTGGGTGAAATTTGCCGTACTCGTGTGCCGCGAGGAGCCCAAACCATTATCCGAGTCCCCATCGTCCTGTAAAAAACAATAAATTCGTATTAAAATCATGTATAAACACACATACATATATATATATTGTGATTATTTGCTTACGTCACTCTCGATATCAATGTCTCTGTCGTCGTCGCTCATACTCATGATTCCGGAAAGTAATTAGATACTTTTAATGGACCGCAGAAAAATACAAAGTAATTGTATTAGATTTCTGTTTGTTTACAATTATTGTGTTTTATTTATATGTTGCCAGCACGTTCTAGTAGAGTTGTGAAATTGTGATGATATCGATGTTATCGATTTTAGCAAACGGTCACATTATGACTAACACGACTAGAAAATAGCTAGAGATTTTTAAAATTAATACAAAATTGCTTAATTTTCAAAAAGTCTAAACCAATATTTTAAACTAATTTAAAAAAATAGAATAAAACGGAAAATAAATCATTAGGAAAAAAGCAAACGCAGCCAAATCACATATAAAATTAGCTAAAAAACTCTAGCTAATAGATTTTGCCATATCAAAAAAGCTAGATTGAGCTATAAAATCACTGAAATGCCAGCACCGCTTTTATTATTATAATCTTTTTCTTTTCTGCCACAATTGTTGCTTGTTTTCATATTTAACGGGATGTCTTTTCCCACCACAAGTTCCCAGCAAGCCGAGACGAACCGCAAAATACTCGAGGAGATCCAGTCGAAGAAGCAGTTGCTGGCCGGCGGCATCCTTAATCTCGGATTGAGCACCACGAGTCAGGTGAGTGTGGACCATGTGGACAGCCGGGTTTTCTACGATATTTAGAGTACAATTTCTTACAGATGCCCGCTCCTCAGTTACTGGGACAGCCGACGACCGTTAATCCAGATTTCCAGCTGGGCGTGGGCATTGCCACTAATGCCACGCCTACCGCCCGCTCTGCATTTAATCCAACGAGCTCTACAACTCTGGGTTTCTTTATACCTCAGGATTCGTATTTTGGAAATAGTTTCATACCCGTGCTGCCACGTCTGGAGCCGCTGCCGTCGCCCGCGACTACCCCCACCACGCCCAACGCCCCCGCCACCCACAATATCAGCAAATAGACGGCCCGCCAATGGCACGTCTTAAGCTTAAGAAGCTGGAGGAGTATCTGCAGAGTGTTGATGGCTTCGAGCAGCCCAAGATCCTGCTGGAGCAATATCCAACTCCGCCGCACATAGCTGCCTGCATGGTGCATCACATGCAGGCCCAACACGAGGATATAGAAGGAAAACTGGTGGGTGACTTGGGCTGTGGCTGTGGAATGCTCAGCATTGCCGCCACTCTCCTGGGCGCCCAGCTCACTGTGGGCTTCGAATTGGATGGCGATGCGGTAGATACCTTCAGGGGCAATGTGGTGGATATGGAGCTGCCCAATGTGGACTGCGTCAGAGCGGATGTGCTGCAGCTGTCGGGGAGCAAGTGGGAGAAGATATTTGACACAGTAGTAATGAATCCACCGTTTGGCACAAAGCACAATGCTGGAATGGATATGCGGTTTCTGGAAGTGGCACTGCGTTTGGCCAACCGAGCGGTTTACTCCCTCCACAAAACATCTACACGGTATGTCATTAATTTAATTATTTAAATTTAATTTAACTTTGTAATCAATTTTCCTTAGTGCCTACATTCAAAAGAAGTCCCAGGAGTGGGGTGCTCGTGGCTCAGTGGTCGCCGAACTTCGCTACAATATCGAGGCCAGCTACAAGTTCCACAAGCACAAGTCCAAGGACATTGAGGTGGACTTCTGGCGCTTTGATATAAGCAAAGATAAATAATTAACTCGGCGGCATTTCGTTTAAGGACATTATTTTTGTATATTTAAAATTAAAGAAAATAGGACGATTAAAAATGTAAAAAATCTCAATTTTACTCCACATTGAAGACCACTCCCTGGGCGCAGGCCAGTTCGCCGGAATGATTGACGGTGATGGTGGCCCGCTTGCAGTACTGTTTCCAGGCATCCGATCCAGACTCACGACCTCCTCCAGTGGCCTTTTCACCGCCGAAGGCTCCGCCAATTTCAGCACCATTTGTGGTGGTGTTGATGTTGACAATGCCGCAATCGGAACCGCTGGCTCCAATCCACTTGAAGGCCTGTCCAATGTTCTCAGTGAAAATGGCAGAGGAGAGACCCTGCTCCACCTCGTTGTTCCATTCGATGGCCTGCTCTACGTTCTTGGCTTTGAGAACATAAACGATGGGCGCAAAGGTTTCACGATGAACCACGCTGGCATCGTGACTTAGTCCTGTGATCACAGTGGGTTCCACATAGTGACCAGGTCTCTGAATAACCTTCCCACCAAAGGCCACAGTTCCGCCCAAGGACTTGGCCTCCTCAATGGCCTTCGTGTAGTTCTCCACATTTTGTTGAGTGTGCACGGGACCCACAAGCGTTTGTGCCTCCAACTGATGGCCAATTTTGGGTATCAATTGTTTATATTTGCCAACCAAAGCCTTCACAAACTGATCGTGCAGCTTCTCGTGAACAATGATCCTTCTGGTGGTGGTGCATCTCTGCCCGCTGGTGCCAATGCAACCAAAGAGAGCAGCATCCAGGGCCATCTTCACATTGGCTGATTCATCAATGATCAAGGCATTATTACCGCCCAACTCAAGGATCACTTTGCCGAATCGCTTCTGGACTTCCACGCCCACATCACGTCCAGTTTGGCAACTGCCCGTAAAGGATACCAGGTTAACTCGCTTGTCGGCCACCAGAGTCTGGCCGACATCGGTACCTCCTTGGCAGAGAGTAACCACCGGTGGGAGGTTATTTCTGCGCAGCACATCCGCCACAATTTTGGTAGTTGCCACGGAGACTAAAGGCGTGCTGGGAGCTCCCTTCCACAGGACACTGTTGCCAGTGGTAAGAGCTATGGCGGCATTCCAGCCAAAGACAGCATTGGGGAAATTGTAGGCTGAAATAACGCCCACCAATCCCAACGGACGCCAAGCCTCCAAAATGGAGTGTTCAGCTCGCTCAGAGTTAATCAGTTGACCGGCATAGATCCTGGAGAGGCCAACTGCATAGTCACAGATGTCTATAAACTCCTGCACCTCACCCTGTCCCTCGCTGTATATTTTGCCCACTTCCAGGGACACGAGTTTGCCCAGGGGTTCCTTGTACTTCCTGAGCTCATCACCGATCTGGCGGACTATCTCACCTCGAACTGGAGCTGGCACCTGTCGCCATTGTTTGTACGCATCCACAGCCAAGCCAATTGTCTGCTCCAACTCCTGGACATTTCCCTGACGCACTGTGGCGATGGGTTGACCGGTACCAGGGTCATAACTAGTTATGGAAGGTCCACGTCCCTGCCAATGGCCGGAATAAACACCAGGATTATCCCTCTCCAAGCCCAATTCCTTGAGGAAACTATATTCGGGTTGGTCGATCAGAAAGGATGTGGATGATGAGCGGCTGGAGGCTACTTGGGTGATCAAACGGCGGGGCGTGACGAGCCTCGAAAGATTTCTCAAATGTGCCATCATGCTAAAAAAGAAGGATAACGTTTAATATTAAATTAGTTAAAGATTTATTTTTAATTTTTTAATGTTTCCATTTAGTTGTATATTTATGAAATGTACATATGATTTTGGGGTCTGTGTGTAGAGGAGCGAGAGGAGATTTATGGATTACTGATTACGCCCTGATACCATTCTTATCGAGCGATAACTGCTCCGTCTGTTTTTCTGGTTGCTGGCTGGAAAGTTTTTTTTTTAGATCCCCAGCAGCGCGCGGATCTACTGATAGCATCTCCGTTGAGTCGTTCGGTACTCACTTTGTTTGCCTCCGGATTGAGAGATCACAACTGCCACAGTCGCAAGTCAATTATCAACTGAGGACAGATTTGAATTCTCAACGAGCAGGCCAACCGGCTTTTGTTTGCAGCTTATCGCGGCGTAAACTGAATTTAATTCAAAGAGAGAGAACGGGGGGCAGTTGGCGTCTTATCAATAATTTTTTTATGAAAGTGGAGGTTGAGTGGTGTAGGGTATATATAGTGTTTTATATGTTGTATACTTTCAGGTAAGATTTAAAAAGTATATAAAACTATTGTTAGTTTTAAATAATAAACAAATTTGTTATATGTTATACTAAATTAACCTACTAAAAAGAGTTAAATAAATATTGTATATTTATTTTCTCTATATTTCTAAATATATATCGTGTGTTGTATTCGATATCCCATGACTTTTTCTTCGATAAAGCCATTGTAGCTGTTTCCCTGACAACCTGTAAAATACATAAAGTGTTTGTTCGTTAGCAAATATTTTGCACTCTCATAATAAGGTGTTTGAAGTAATTTAAGTTTATATTTTATAAAGAAAACATAACATCAACATAATGGAGGTCCTAGAAGAAGGTAATTTAATGGATAGAGTTCCGATTTTGCTGCAGCGAGACCTGGAGTTTTATCAGGTGAGAAAATGTTAAATATATCTTTATAGTTCCTGACCTAAAAAACCTAAAAACAGACACATCAACGAGTGCTTCAAGAACCAATATGCTCAGGAGTCGTAGGTGGAAAACTGGACTTTCCACGTTATGCTTCCTTTGCTGCCATCAAATTAATTCGCTGGTAATTACCTAAAGATTTCAATATTAAAAATAATTCATAGAATATATATATTTTAAAGGTGGGAAGATGAATACTTTGCCTCTTATCGAAAACCATCCGGACTTTTGCACACCGAAAAGGAAATGAATGAAGGAGATTTTGTACGATTTAACTGATTAAATTATAAAAATCAAAAAATTTATATTTCTTTTCCTTCATTCCTAGGCAAGTGCAACCGTCAAGACATCAGATCCTGATAAATTCGTACAGCTCGTGACCAAGTCCGCTGATCTTCTTCTTGAGCACATTCATCGTCTCTCTCAGGAGTCTCTGGATCATGCAGATTTATCTGTACTCACTGCCACAATTGGAGCTGCTTCGCTGGTCAAGAACTCCCTGAGTGTTTATATGCAGGCAGCCACCACCACCATTTGTCCTCCAAAAGGAGACGAAAAGGGTGGAGCTCTTAAGCTAAGCTTCAAGCAATATTCCCAGATGTCTGAAGCTTTGGCAGAACGTCTCTTGGATCTTCATTGCCGCTTATTGTTACTCTATATCATGCAAGATGCCGACTGCCTGCATTGGGAGGATACTCAACCGTTTTTCGAGTCCGAAAGAGGTTCCTATACCGTTCAGATGTGGTGGCATTATATGAGGGGTTCCAAGAATGATTTGTGGAACTCGGTGCCTCCCAAAATGGCACAGAAAATCTTTGCTGGAATGTTGAATGAAACGCTGAGCGTTTTGACTGTTCGCTATACCCAAATAGTGACCAGCGTGGCTCGATCCACTCTCCATCTGGTGGACATATGCAACATGCTGCTCTGCATTGCTGAACTGTTGCCCCATATCTGTGAGAGTGGTGAGGCATATGTGGGTTTGCAGCTGAGCAATCAGAGTGTTATCCTTAGGGATATACATGCCAAGTGCCGGGAGCTGTTCTATTGCCTCCTTCTTAGGGGTGCTCCACTGGGTGTTTTATCCAAGGTGAGATCTTAGTCGGAAAAATTTCTTTTAATTCCTTTTTAATTTAAATTTCATTTTTTTAGGTCTTCCGCAAAGGCCTTGACAACATGGAAATGTTTAGCTCTCGCCATGGTCTTCCCAGTGCTTGGATTATTTTTGCCTTACCCAGATATTTTCCCAAAGAGCAATCCTGTCAATGGGTTACCGAATTTGCCGATCTCTCTACCAATACTGCCATATCCTTGGACTTGAGGGTTTTGCTTGCCTTTCCCGAAGCTGACTGGTCTTATCTATTGAAAATTCTTTTGATGAGAGATGCTTATCTTACTGGGATTGTAATGCGTCATCTTATGCAGCATTTGCCATCATCGGAAAACTTTAAAAATGTGGCGAAAATTTCATTTACCAGCGCTGAAGGGGCTCCTCAGAAGTGCGAGGCCTTTTTGTGTCGCGGGGAATGCTTTAATGTCACCGAATCTATTTCAGGAGATATAGGTAAGTTGGGTTCTTTATACATCTATGATAGGGGGTTT